ATTCAGTTGGTGGAAGCATCATTCTCAAGCTATGATAAAAAAATGTCCAAAATGTTACTCAAATGCCTCGGCAGGTGCATGCTTATGATCCATGTTCGCTCTACGGAAGTCGATATCATTGCAAGAAGGATGCCGCCAAATGAAATTGTGAAGATCCATCGTGGCAATCACAATCTGCACATGTTTAGGATATGGGTAAAATGACATATCGCAGAGTATAACATATTTTTTCTTCCAAACACCAAAGGTCCTCTCAATGACACAATGTGAGGAATGACTTTTATTAAATATTTTTTTTCTACCTCGGGTTACATTGATTGCTCGCTCAAAGTCAGGTATGTGGTATCTTATTTCAAGATATGGCTTTAAATACCCTCGCTGCAACAGATATCCAGTCTCAACCAAGTAGTATTTACCTAATATGCATTGCATGATTAATATTGAGGGAAAATTGAATTACGAGAGCAGCTAAGTTTCAAGCGTACCTGTGGGAGGATGTGGGAAGTTGTATTTGTTATTCTGTGTTGCAGCTTTAAAATTTCTATTATTGTGTGCACTAACCTCCCAACCAGCCATGACAAAAGTGAAGCACATGTTGAAGTTGCATACAACCATGACATTCTGAATCGGGGACCCGCAACGGTCGATGAATGCGATCTTCTCATTATTTGGAACATGTGCATCAACTTGTGTTTTATCGATTGCTCCAATACAATTATGGAAAGACAATGATTGCTTATGTAATAACGTTGTTTATTTGAAAATTGAATGTAAAAAATTTAAGACATTACCTTAAAGAACGACATGTACCTTACATCGCATGAAATCTCTGTGGGGTCCATTCGGACGTAGGGTCTGTTGGTTTTATGACTTGTGAAGAAAAACTCATAAATATCTTCAACCCCAATGAGAAATATCTGCAAATTTTTTCGAAGGAGTGTTGGAATCACTCAACTACTCCTTGCATTGATTATTTTTGTCATAATATATAGGGGGTTATCGCCAGCACTTCTCGCAAAGTCGTCCTAGAAGAGTCATGAATTCCATCATTTTTGTGTAGTTCCTCCAACAAATCGTTGAATATCGCTTGTGTCATATGGAAAATATTACTACATCTCATTGGATGACCCGCAAGCAAATCCCTAACCCATTTGTCCCTAACATAGGTCGATGTCATGCAAGGGGAGCGACCTATATACGAGTTATAATATTCGTACATCAAGCATATTATAGCTTCAACTCTCCTTCCGTGCCTTTCCTTGGTTGCATCCATGCAGATTGGTATCGTACTGGCTAGCATAGAAACATCAATGAATTAACTACAATTATATAAGGTTACATGCACACAATAAACATATAAGCCTCACTAAATAAGTCATGTCCCAACCAATTGAAATATCCATAGCAAAATGAAAAACGATACAGAAATATAAATATCCCAAGTAATAGTAAATAAAAAAAAGTCTCTTAAATGCTCTTGTGATTATAAAAATGTCTTATGTACGCCGCCCTACGGTTATCTGGCATCTGACAAAAAAATCTCAACAGGTCGGATGTTCAAGTAACTCTATCGCAAATAAGTACAACGATAAATCCTAAAAATTTTTCGTAGTTGCATTCAAAATTTGCAGAACCTGGCCAACGTAATTTGCTTGAGATGTGTGGTTTTCCGCTGCATGAAGCCACTAGTGGTGATATCTGGCTTCTAAGGAAAGCAGCTCAAACTTTCTTTTTATTCTCAACCTGTGGACACTTAGAAAGGTGGACTCAAGTTCATGGAGGTCTAGGTCGGGGACTTTGGTGGAATCACCCAATTGGTTGGTTCCCAAGTTCTTGGGGGTGCCACCAAACCCTGTCTCACTAGACGCACATGCATTGTTTCCCGTAGCAACCAAATCCAAACATTCGATCTGACTTCTCTTCCACCTTAGGATCGAGTCCGCTGATTTTAAATTTCTTTGCAACGGACATCACCTATAAATTCATAACATATATTTCAATTTAAAAATAAAATAAAATTGACCAAAATAGGAGACATGTCAAAAATGCTTAACTCAAGTCTTTCTGCCCACTACTCGGAAACATCAATGGTTCGCTTCATCGAATCTCACAATAGGCCTGTTGATTCTTATTCAATTTCTTCCAAATTTTTCAATCTTTCTTGAGCTGATCTCACTTGTTTTTTAATTGCATCCTATAGTATTCTCTATCTATACTTTACTTGAATTTTCTTATAATATTTTGTTGTCCTTCCTTATTAAAATAGGTTGTAGGCCTATTTCCCGGATCCTTATAATATTTTGTTGCCCTTATTAAAATAGGTTGTAGGCCTATTTCCCGGATCAATCTCTTTGAGACAAAGGTTGCAAAATATTATTGTATTTTTTTGTCCCACATTAAGGGTATTCCAGCATCATTGTCTTAATCATTTTATTACTATGATGAAAAAAATAAAGTTACATAATTAAATATGCAACAATATATACACATGCAAACACCACACACACTACACGCCATCACACACCAAAATAGCACATCCACACCACATACACCACCACCCCTCCCTAAACCCTCCACACTCCATCACACAACACAATAGCAAATCCACACCACCCACACCTCCCTAAACCCTCCAAATCTAACCAACCACAATAGCACATCCACACCATACATAGTACCACACGTCTATAAACCCTCCACACAACCAATCAACCACAATAGTGCATTCACACCACACACACCACCAAAACTCCCTAAATCATCCACACAAACAACCAACCACAATAGCACATCCACATCGCATACACTACTACACACACCGCCACACCTCCCTAAACCCTCCACACACCCAACAAACCACAATAGCACATCCACACCACACACACCACCACACCTTCCTTTAAGAGAATTGTGAATCAAACTAGAAATATATTCAGAAATGTTTGAACAAGACTGTAAATGCTTCAAAGTGTTTCTAGAATCACAAAATCCCAATTTAACAATAAAAAAAGAAAACAAACAAGTACTACTAGTCCCATAGTTCTTGAAAAGAAAACTCTTATTATTAAATTTGCATAGGAGATAAGCTTCTGATTGATTGATAATAAGCAAGACAGCCTACCAGTAATACCCGATCAAACAAAGAGAAATAAGCATACAATATTATTTTAACAACAAAACAGAAGATCCTTCATTCTTGCTAAACCAAAAAAGTCCATGACTACTAAAGAATTATTTGTCAAAACTACACAATCTTGATAAAAATCATTAGATTTAAGAACTACAGAAGCATCATGCACAAAGTTTAAAGTATAATAACTTTGATGCTTTTTTTTTGTGAAATTTTAAAAGTTGAAAAACCTTTATGATTCATTTTTTTTTATGTATTTCACTGTGCTTCTCATCTTAAGTTGCATCATTCAACATCAAACTAGCATTGAAGCTTATGATTGAGCTATCATATTAACTCGATAGACACAATTTCCTCTGCCCCGATTGCTGCTCCACCATTACAGAACTCCTCAGCTTTACATAACAGACCATCTAACCCATGACCATCATCCCTCCCCTACGACCAACTCAACGGCACCGATAGACACAATTTCCTCTGCCCCGATTGCTACTCCACCATTACAAAACTCCTCAGCTTTACATAACAGACCATCTAACTCATCACCATCATCCCTCCCCTACGACCAACTCAACGGCACCACCATCATCCCCACCATCGCCACCACCACTGACTCCGTCACTACCATCCCCAACCTCTCCGACCACTTCGACACAACTTCCATCATCACTAGGAGGATCTTCTCCCCTTTTAGCTCTGTTACCTCCACCATCCTCATGATCCAAGTCACCATCATCACACTCAACACAATAACACCATTCACAGATGCAATTTTCACCACAAAAACAAATCCAACACCCATCATAGCAATAACAAAAGGATTCATAAATGCAGTAAAAAATCGAACCCTATGAGGCATCTTCTGCTTCTCAAATTCTCCCTCAAATATCAAACAAAACCAACACAAAATACCAACAGAAACATCAAAAACCGAAGCATCAATAGCCATCAAATGACATATGGCAAAAACCATAAACCAAATAATCTCAAAACATTGGTGCAAACTAATGCGGCTAACTCTCATAAAACCTCCAAGAAAAGATAGAGAAAGGGGATATCAAAGGAAGAAGCAGGCGTCCAGAATTAGAAGAAAAAGAAGACGTGCAAATGCAAGATGGTTAGGATAGAGGATGCAAGAGCTCCGCGGGACGGTTAGGGCAAAAGACTGGGTAGATCGATACGCAAAGAGGGAAACGCTATAAAAATAGCTCGGCATTTTATAAAAGATAAGCACCCCACCAAACAATAAATTAAAAAAAAAAAAAAGAGAAAATTTTAAGTCAGAACCTTTTTGAAAGATTTACATACATACCACTCAAATCTTATGCAATTAATTTCACTTTTAAAATTTAAAATAGTAATTTTTTTTATGCGAGATAAAGGATTTGAGTGATATGAATGTAAAAAGGTAAAATTTAGGTGTTAGATGTCATTACATATGAATTCGGTGGTATGCACGTAAATGTCCCATCTTTTAGTCAAAATAAATCTCAAAATCATTAAATTTTTTTCGAGATTAATGCAATATAATTTAAAATGAATGTATATATTTAATATTAATCTAAGAAAAAAATCAACAGCTTTGAGACTTGTCCAAATAGAAATTTGATGAGGACATCTAACCCAATTTTATTTCATGCAAAAAAACCGAAAAGATAGGCCTTCAATGAAAAATACTTATAAAATAAATGAATAACAAATCCATCTGAACCAAATGAATCATGAAATCATTCTAGCTTATTAAAATTCACTTCATCTTTCACAAAATACAGTTACCAAACAGCCCAACATATAACCACAACATTAAACACCAATAGATAAAATATGGAACATTTTTCAAAGCAAAAAATAACGAGTTATTCTACGTAAAATACCAAACTTACATCAAAACAGGCTTCAAATATTCTCAAAAACACTTAAATAAGTACAAAGATGAAACATAAAATTCATTCATGGAGTTAAAAATTTAAACTTACAGTGAAAGAAAATAAGAAATAGCCAACTTAATAGGAGAAGAAGGACAGAAGCTTACTCGATATATTTCAGTTGTGTTTATGAGCTCTCATCTTCTTCTTCATGAGGCGCACAATTTCCTCAGGTCTGTGCCACCATGTACGAGTCAGCACAATACTTCGCATCAACGAGTCAGCGCTCTCCTCCGTCATATAAGAGAATTTATCATAAGCTCGCTTCCATTTATCCATCGCTCGTTTAAGTCTTAGGCTCGGTACGTTGCAAGAAGATATTTGATGTAGTGCCCGTTTGGGGCAACTTATAGGGTGCGACGGCGTTCTGAAAAAGCCGCCTACCCGTTTGAATGTCGCATTCGGGTGGAAATTTTTGGTACCATGGCTTTCTAATATCGCCATTTCCTTCCTCGCTTCGCAAGCTGTCCACCCCCTGCATCCCGCGTATAATTTTTGCAATTGGGAAAGAATACCTGTGGTGCCCTCTATCCCTCACCCTTTCCAGAGAATCACCTCGCCTCCCTTGCCTCGCCCTTTCTAGTAGAATCACAGCCTCGCCCTTTCCAGGAATCGCACCCAGAACTGTAGATCGGCGAGCCCTAGAAATTCAATTTTGCTCCAATATCCCTCTCCTTCCTTCTCACGAGCCCTAGCAATTCAATTTTCCTATCCGATTTGTAAGGTATGCTTTCCCCTGCGATCCTTAGAAAGTTTCTCTTTTCTGTCAGTTTTTTTGGGAGGTGAAGATGCAAGCAACATATTTTTTTTAACTTTTGATGTGATATATGAAATGAATGAATGATTTTTAGGTATATCCTAGCTTAAATCTGTGGCTTGAGAGTTACATCTATGAGAAAAGTGCATAACAATATCTATTACTTTCTTGTTGTAAAATACATAAACGTTTGGGCTAATTTCATTAGAATTGAATACTGACTTGTAGCCAGTTTGCTAGGCAGCAATTGCTTATCTTCTTTGATGAAGTCATTGGCTTGGAGAGCCGCTGTTAGGCTGTATAGGTTGTCTGTTTTGCAATGCGAGGACATTATTGTTTTTTCATTTCTCTATTGTTGTTGTGGGTCTCATTAACGATTTTTTCTGTGTTTTTGTTAAGGTAATTTTCAACTTCTAATTATTGTTTTACAATTCCTAATGATCATCAGAAAATCCTACAAGCTTTGAATGCTATTTAACGAGAAAGGTATAAGATTATAGGAAAGTAAGGATGTGCATTCCTAGCACACACTTCTTAAGTATTTACATATCGCACACCTAGACTTTCATATTTACATATTTTGTGTTTTAAACCTATGCATAAATTGTGATAGAAAGTTTAGGATTTTCTGTTAGGAATTGTGTTAAATTGTTTTATACAAATATGAAAGTTTAGGTGTGAGATATGTAAATACATAAGAATTGTGTGTCATGCATGTAAATTCCCCTTCAAAGCCTTTATTTTTGTTTTTTCATGATGGCTGTAAATCAAACTAATAAGTAAACACTTAACATTTTCTTCCAATAGAACTGCCATCATCTCGTGCATTTGCATGGTGAATATTTAATTTAAATTTGGAACAATATATAGGAGCACAACTAATAAGTAAACACTTACATTTACTTCTACTTTTCTTTTCAGTACAATGACATAAAAGTTTGCTGGTACTAATGCTATTTATTAATTAAAGTTTAAAGGCAAAGTACTTTTTTTGTTACTTTTATGTCATTTTCCTTCATATATTATCACTCGACTGATTAAACAATATAAATTACTAAAATCAAAAGCATAACAGCTTTAGATAACCTTTTAAACATGATATTGTGCTACTCAAGATTTTATATTAGTTGCTTTCAAAAGAATTTTTAGGAGGCTAACCCAGGGGGAGACACTCAACAGGCTGAGCAATTTTATTTTCTAATTTGCTGTACTCAAACTGAATTTGATTTGTTTCTTTATCTCATAATTTAGTACAACTTTCTCTTATAGTTTGTTTGTTGAGAAATTTGCATCATATTTATAAATTTTTTGTTGACTGACAATATTTACTTGGTACTTATAAATTTTTTGTTGACTTATAAAATTTAAGTTCCTTATAGTGCCAACATGTCTAAGACGAATGAAGGGGGTCCATCTGCTATGTGGGATAAAGAAGTAACAAATATTTTTTGTGATTTATGTATTAAGGAAATAAAACTAGAAAATATACCAACAACGTATTTTAACAAGGAAGGTTGGCAAAATATTGCGAAAATGTTTAAAGAATTGACTGGCAGAGATTACGACAGGCTAAAATTAAAAAATAAATGGGACCAATTGTAGAAGAAATGGAAAATTTGGAAGGAGCTCAAACATGGATGTACCGGTTTGGGTTGGGATCCCATTAAGCGGATAATCGATGCCCCAGAGGAATGGTGGGCTGAGAAATTGGAGGTAATAAACTCACTATTATACTTTTATTTTGATTTACATTACTTATTTTTTCTCAAATAAATAAACCCACTTAACCCCCTCCTCCATTTCAATGTCACAGGCAATGTCGTCAGCAAACAAATATAAGCATTGCGAAATTAACCCAGACTTTGAAGAAAAACTCGACATAATGTTTAAAGGGGTTGTAGCGACAGAGAAAATTTACATTCAACCCAAGTGATATGGGTTTTGCAGGCATATAAGATGACTTCTCATCTGAGTCGTTGACAGCTCATGAAGAAGTGCGTAGTAACCAGAGAGAGATGGGGGAGTCCAGTTCACAAAGAGGCCCAGGCTTGGTAGAAAAAATAAAGAAAAGGACACCTTTGTGAAAACCTCATTTGATCGACTCATTGAAGCTTTTGGTGCTCCACCACCTGCTCCAGTCCCTGACAGCACCATCTTTGAATGTCTAGGAACTTCAGCTTTTATACCTGAAGTAGTTGCAGACTTTCGTGTTCATGCAAAGTGTGTCAAGAAACTTGAGGATCCAACCCGTAGGCAAATATTCATGGCGCTGCAGTCAGAATTTGGCCTCGAATATTTGCATGTTTTGGTTGAGGAATGAATTTGTTTTAATTTGTTGTTATTTGTATCTTTTTTTATGTTATGGACATCTAAATGGGTAATTTTAATATGTTGCTCTTTGTATGGATCGTACCTATTTTTATGGATCTCCTCAACAAGTTATATCTGAATCACGATCTCCAAGGTTTTTCTAGAACGACGAAAAGAGAGGTGTTGGTTATAACAATATACATTCTGTCACAAAATGAATTTATTAGAGGTGTTATGGAGAGATTTCAGCATTCAACGGAAACAATAAGCCGTTATTTCTCTAAAGGCATACAGGCACTTGTTAGCTTGGCAGCTCAAATCGTTAAACCAGATGATCCATCATTTGCTAGTACTCAAGGTGAAATTGCCAATGATCCCCATTACATGTCTTATTTCAAGGTCACCATTGGTTTCTTTACGTTACTTCTGAAATTCTATTTTTTTCTAATGTTGTAAAACAGAACTGCATAGGTGCAATTGGAGGTACTCACGTCGATGCTTGACTACCCAGCCAGGACAATGTGGTGTAGATTGGTCGTAGTGGTTTAACTACTCAAAATGTCATGGCGGTATGTGACTTCAACATGTATTTCACTTTTGTCATAGCGGGCTGGGAAGGGAGTGCACATTATAGTCAAATTTTCTCCTATGCAACTAGGAATAGATCACAGTGTTTTCCTCACCCGCCTTCAAGTATGATTTGATTTGTAAATGTTCTAGTTATATGTATTATTTTTCATTAACAATGTATTCCATAATAGAGAAATACTATTTGGTTGATGTTAAATATCCTATGCAAAGGGGCTACTTGAAGCCATAGTCAGATACTATATATCATATTCCTGATTTTGAGCGAGCAAGTGGCACCATCCGTGGCAGGAAATAAATTTTTAACAAACGTCACTCCTCTTTACGTGAGGTAATTGAAATAACATTTGGGGTTTGGAAGAAGAAATTGGTCATCTTACTTGATATGTTGTCATATCCACTTCAAAAGCAGGTGCATATTGTGGTGACAACAATGACACTTAATAACTTCATCCGACGACATCCTTTACGTTCAGATACGGACTTTAGTATGGCTGATAATAATGAAATGAATGTCTTTGAAGAACATTCAGCATTTGTGGTTGGGTCTTCAGTCCATGAGGATGAGATTGACTCTAAAGAATTTGGGGTTCATGAAGCTGGGGGTATGACTGAGATGACTGCTTTGAGAGAGTAAATCGCAGATGCTATCTATAGCAGTTGATCCACAAAGTCTTCTTCATTTCACACACTATAGGTTTATTTTCGTATGCACGTCTTTTTATTGTTTTTTTTTCAGGATCTGACATTTTTTTTTGTTTCTTCTAATACTCACGAGAGTGTGAGCACTGCATGTTATCTTTTGAACTGATCTGTGATGATTTCTAAGTTTTGTATTATATACTTCTATTCTCATTTCAGTTCTGTTGCAAACAACTTAACCAAACAGGGGCAGAATGGTCATTTATCCAACCACAGCTCTCAATAAGCTGTTATGAATAAGCTACCTCAAACAGCATTTCAGTTTATTCTGATAATCTGCAAATTATCAGATTATCAAATAGCATTTCAGTTTATTCTGATAATCTGCAGATTATCAGATTATCAGAATAATCTGTTTATTAGCGGATTATAAATAATCAACAGCTGTCCCAAACAAACCCGTAGTCTCGGGCGAGCATAATTAGTTCTGCACCATTGAATATGTAAAAATATACTGCAACAACAAAAAAAGAAGAAAAAATTTGCATATTTACCACATAATTCTTACAGATTTACATGTCTAACACCTAAAGTTTGATGTTTATATTTATAATATATCGTACTATAAAGCTATGCATAAAATGGTAGTATAAATGAAATTTTTTATGTGATGTTGAGTATTTGAGTGTTATGAATGTAAATATTAATGTTTATGTGTTAGATATGTAAATATATGAGGATTGTGTTGTATGATTATGCAAATGCCCCAAAAGTAAATAATTTATCAATCCATAATCTAAAAGAGAAGGAGAGGGTGGAATTGTTAAAGAGTCTCGCAATGTTTCAATGTTTCTGAAGGCAAACTACAGTTATTCTGATTGAATTTTGTGATCGGTTGTATAGTTCAGTAGTTATGTAATTGTAATAGGTAATTAATAAGTCATAAAGTATTTGGATTTCCAATAAATGCTCACTATTGGATGCGTTAAGAAAGCAATTTTTGGAGTTGTTGGTATCTTTGAATCCGATGTTATCATGATGTCAATGATGGGGTTTAATCATATTCATGATATGATACCATACCGAACATAGCAATGATGGTTTCAAATTTATACAAAAACAAAAAGAAGATTTGCATATATACCACCCAAATTGTATGTATTTACATATCTAAGTAATCTAACACCTAAACTTCAATTTTAACAACTATGCATGAAAAGGAGTGTTTCTTATTTTTAAAGTTAAAAGAGTGGTATTCTTACTGTAAAAAGTGAAGTTTAGGTGTTAGATATTTAAATACATAGGAATTGGGTGTTATGCATGCAAAATGCCCAATGGGAGAAATTTACATGCCTAGCAAACAATTCTTATGTATTTACATATCTCAAATATAAACTTTCATATTTACATACATAACACTTTTGTGCTTTAAACCTATACATGAAAAGATTATTTTACTTCAAAAAAGTGTGGTGCTATTTTTGCTTTGTTATTCAATATTTGAGTGCTATGTGCGTAAATATAAAAGTTTAGGTGCGAGATATGTAAATACAAAAGAATTGTGTGATATGTACGTAAATGCCCCCAGGAATTAATGGTCTGCATCATTCAGTTAACTGTTCACTGACATAGCCAATTGGAAAGCCCCTTTGCTAACCAAATTAAGTATTTATCGAAGAAATAAATCATGTAAAAATGGAACATGAAGATCTTTGTTAAACCGACGCCATCTGTCTCATGCTCCGTTGAGACGATGTCGAGTCCGCCAAATAATTTGAAGACTTATGCGAGGCACAAGACTAAAAAGGTAATTTAGTAGTTTGTTAGTTAGTATTATGGATTATAAATAAGGCTTAATATGTTTAGGGCTATGTATGTGATTGTTGTCTTGAATCTTAGGGTTAAGATTTGGGAGAGAATTGCCTAACTCGCGAAATGTAGGTTCATTCTTTATGTCTTCGGAATTTTATCATTTGGATTTGATACCGGCGGAATAAAATCTATTAATATATTCCTACTATCTGCTAAAATTTTTATTGTTCCTATCAGTCTAATAATCGAGTTGACAACTGTAATCATATAATACTATCATGAGTGGTTTGCATGCATGCCACTAAATATTGTGTATTTACATATGAAACGATTAAGCCTTTATACTCAAAAATATAACACCGTGATTTCTAAATGTCATAAAAAACGTATACATGAAAAGCTGTATTTTACTTTAAATAAGTTAATGGTAGTGGTACTTTTGTTGCTATCAAAAGATGAGGATGTCACATAAGTAAATATTAAAAAATTTAGTTATTAAATATGCAAATACACAGGAATTCATTGGTAAGCTTACAAATCCCCCCTCCCTTGTTAATACTACTGAACTAATGGGGAGAATAGTTAAGCTAAAAGAATATGCATGGGAAAAAGCATAAAAAACAACACAATTAGATGAGCCAATCACCTTGTTTTCATCCCTCGAGTTCCTTTTTCCTCCAAACAAGCACGTCTGAGCACATGTTTTGCGCTTTGGAAAACCGCAAACTATATTTAGAATTTTTCGATGCTCTAGTAGTTGAATAGGAGAAATACATAAAACTGCCATATAAAAGAAGGTAACCTGAGATAAAGAGCATGTTCTGCAGATTCTCGTAATAGGGTTCCGAGATTCACAGAGGTATTGAATACATTATTCTGTGTACAGCTCATCCTTTATCAGAGTGCTGAGCAACTTAAATAAGAATAAAGGTATGGAACATGCCACAGATCATATAACAAAGTCCAAGTTTTGCAAGATAACATCAAAAGGTCGTCATATCAATATCATACATTTTTTTTTCAGAATGAAAAAGATTTATATCACATAAACATTACCTACCAGAAAATTAACTAGTTCACAGTGCTGTAAGTGAACCAACGCATCAGATGAATAACTCAAACTCAACTTGTTAAATACATGTTATGTTTTTTCGACTTAAGTAGCTAAATAAGTTCGAGAGCTATTTTAAAACTCAAAAGTTAAATGAGACAATTTTGAACGCAATTCAACTTATTTATTTGAGTTTGCGATTTGTGGTTCGACAAGTAGCTTGCTTGTATATCATTAATGTGGCTGCACAAATCTCGAAGAGATCCAATGAGTCGCATGAGGGAAGCAGCAGAAGCACAACCATTCATCATTGTGCTGGTCGGTCGAATTTTAGGGCGACCGAACAAACCTCTGACTGAACCAAGAAACGCCGCATGCATACGTTATGATTAATTGACCGAAATTTGGCATTAGGAAAATCAACGGGAGTCTAAGAGAGTTTCTTTTGCATAGACATATCGACCAAAGAAAGAGTGCTGTCAGATTATGATAAATACCCTTGCTTTACGGAGCAATCCTTCCCGAGTATGATGAGCCCTCACAACAATTTTTTTCGAATGAGACTACAAAAAATCAATCAGTAGATACTTTCGGTCGATCAAATAAATACTAGGCAATCAGACAAGACAATTACGAATGTGAAATAATGTCAAATGTACTTAGAAAAGAAAAATGGTGTCGCCGGTGGTTACAGGGTTAAAGTGTGTCTACGTTAGTTGCAAATACGTAAATATGTAATGATTCTTAAATGACTTATAATATTCTCATTAAATTGGGACAATCATGTAATTTATCATACCCTTCCTATGACTTATAAATAGAAATGTCATTTTAACGAAAAAAGATTATTAAACAATTTCCAAAATATTAAGTATTACTTGTGCCTTATTTTTCTCTTAGTCGCTTTCCTCTTATTCAGCCGATGCTCTATTCCTTGGGTGTGATCCATATGACAATTTAGGATTCAAAATCCTAAAATGTGTGGTGAGGTGAAGTCATGCCTTCAAGGAGAAGATGAGTGTATCAAGGTGAAGGAACGCGGCAAGGAGAAGCCTCTAACGTGAAGTCCATCCTGGAATTCGTGCAACCAAAAATTCAAACTCCATTATAGAATGATGAGTCAGATTGCAGAATGAACCAGCATGGTGCTTGAAGGGAGAGCACAACCTCTCTCTCCCACAAACTCATCCACCAGCACCCAAACCTCATTATCAGTAGCCACCTCAGACAGCCGAACATGTGAAAGTTCCAGTACCAAGATAGTGATGGACCAATGCCAAAAGGAAGACCGCAACTAGGACAATTGGAAATTAGCCGCAATTTAAAGAATGCGTTCTCCCGCCATGTTGTTGATGCTGAGCCCCAAGATAAATTCAAAGTTCCCTCCTTGGAACCGTACAATGGTTGGAGCGACCCGACCGATCATGTTGCATCCCTTGAGTCGGCAATTTACCTTCTCAAAATTCATGACGCGTTGAAATGTCGGGAGTTCTACACTGCTCTGAGAGGTTCCGCTCTCAAATGGTTCAATGGGCTCCTTATTGAAATTATCAATTCCTTCGAAGAGTTCAAAAAACTATTTTTTGCACAGTTCGGTAGTGCCCAAAAGCCCCGCAAGGATTCATACTCCTTGTGGCATGTAAAACAGGGACCAAACAGAGCCCACAGGAGTACGTTACAAGGTTCTAGAAAGAGATGCTCGAGATACTAAAACTAGAGCCAGCAGTTGACAAAGCCGCTCTGGGGCAAGGACAAAAAAGTCCATAGTTTATGTACTTATTGCGTTTAAGGAAACCCGAAATATTAATTGAACTATTTGAGTTGGTTAAAGCCAACATCACGGCCGAAGAATAAATGAATTTGTCCATTACGAAAAGAGAAAGGTGGCCGACCATCGGGCAAGAAAGGCTCTAGCGATGACGGATGGAGGAAGATGGATGGCCCTCGTCCGAAGCATGAAAGACGCCATTCTTCCCTCAAGGACAAGAAAGCCGATACAAACACATGTATACGCAGTCGATCGAATGGTCACTCTACGAGTGATCGTGGAACTTCAAAGCCCACATAGCTGAGAGTCTCGAAGGCAAAACTACTAGACTCCATACAAGACAAAGAATACTTCTAAAAGGTCACACCAATGAGAATAGGTGCTTACCTCCAAAATCCCAACAAGTACTGTAAGTACCTTAAGGGATGTTTTTTTTTCCTAAAAATTAAATGTAATATAAGAGATTTGCAAAGTATTATGATTACAATATATTTGAAATGTTTTCCAGTTGTCTAGTTCATTATAAAATAAATGTAAGATTATATATATATTTGTTTGAAATAGATTGAAAATAATGTATTTACTTTGGCAAATGACGACAGTGGGCGAAGGCAAAAGACGACTATCTATGTATGTAAATATGAAATTTTAGGTGTGAGATATGCAAATACATATAAATTTTGTGTTATCTATGTAAATTAATTACCCTTACTTTAAATTTGACCAAGTAAGACTTAATAAATTATTTAATTAATATTAATACATTATATACTTATTTATTAGTCTTAGATTCCTTTCTCAAATCTCATATCTTATTTCTGTTATTTTGCCTCTCATTATTATCATCTGTCCTAAGCTTTTGAGTTTTGCTACTTTCAATCTCCCAGGTTGCCCTAAGTCATCTGTCTTTGTGAGGTATTCTAATGTTGAGACTTCGGTGAGCATACCTACAAAAGGTAAGCACATTGTATATTTTTTTGATTCTCAACTAGGTTGAAATTGATACATTGACAAGCAATATATGAGCATGTCGTCTAATTAGCTATAGATGCATCTTCTCAAATGCTCTGTTGAGACTTGGATGCCCTAAGTCATTTGTCTTTGTGAGGTATGCTAATGTCGAGACTTGGGTGAGCATACCTACAAGATGTGAGCACATATTATATTTTTCTGCTTCTCAATTAGGTTGAAATTGACACATTAACAGGCAATAAATGAGCATGTCACCTTAGCTATAGATGCATTTTCTCAAATGCTCAATGTGAATAAGACTGTCTAGGTGGTAATTGAAGGTGAAATGGACAAAAGCATGAAGAAGTTCTAAATTGATAAGAACTTTGAATCTTATAACTCACATGGATTTCTTGATAATACATATTAAGCTACATGTTTTATTACACCTAAAATTGACACCATATTTATGTACAAATCTAGGCTCTCGGTCCAAAATAAATAAATAAGGATCTTTCATTCATTCGAAGAACATAAAAATATAGTTCCTTACCAACCATGTACGAGAAGAACCTTTAGCTATCAAAAATATAAATTGTACTATAAACAAATTAAAAAAAAAAATCACATACAACATCACAAATAAAATATTTTATCTGAATAAAAAATCAAGCCTCCAACATCCATGCAGCAAAAATATCAGTAGTTTCCTATGCATAGCAATCTGCTAAATATTGTCTTGACTTTGATATCAAATTTAAATACCATAATAATATCTTCGCATAAATCTTCTTATTAAATGGTGTTAAATGTCACGGATGTCAATGCTACATCTCAAAATTTCAATAGTTCATGACCTCTAGTTCATTATTTGCAGCCAAAAAAATATAGATTCTAATACTGATCCTTTCAGTTGTCAAACTATGAATGATAATCAAGCGAATATTGCAGTTTACATTATTGCAAAAGTTGTTGAAGGAGAAGTTATGGAAGTTGCTAGAAATGATAATCAATACAACTGCTTCAGAAGAAGAAAAGGAGGTCTTGAAAAGTCTTGTGGTAAAACTAAAACGAAGTGTTGACAAGTTACAATGCAATTATTGCAATTTATATCTCAAAAAGAAATACATTTTCGAGATGAGCCATTTTCTTGCATATTGGTTAAGGAAAAAAAAACAGAATCTTCATGAGAAAAAAAGCTAGGGATACAAAAGGACAAGGCATCTTCAATACTGCTTAAGTTTCCTCAATGAAGCATTAAGCACCAAGTGAAATCTGATGCAACTAACGTTCCAACATTTATCAAATCCTTAGGGGTTTTTTAGTAGCAGGATTTAAGCATGATTTAGGGATTTGACCAGCATTTAGCCTAAATCCTGCTAAACAGCAATAATGACAACTTCAGATCCTACAAGTTCTTAAATCCCTATTTTCCTCTGTTTTGCCTTAAATCCAGGATTTAGTGAATCCCGATGGAAAGCGGATTTACGGAATTTAGAGAGGCTGAAACGCTCGAAGGATGGTGGCAGGAAGAGGAAGAAAGACGAGGGTTACCTTCCTCAGTTGTTTCCGGTACAAGTGGAGCTCAAGGAGGAGAAAGATACGAGTTTAGGAGGCCTCTATACGCAGCGATTTTGTCGTTGCCTTCTCCGCTAGCTCTAAACAACACTGTATCGCGAGGTTTTCGGTCACGGCAATGGTTTTGGGCGAAACCGGAGAGCCGGGACGGAGACAACCTAGTGTTTAGGGCAGAAAAGAGAAAGAGGGATATAATTTTATTTAAGTTTGTTTTAATTAATTTAAATTTCTAATAATTACTAATTAAATTTATATAGACTTATATATAACTATCTAATAAATAATTAACGAAAAAATAAACAACAAATTAAAAATTAATTAATTATTAATTATTTCGATAAAAAAATAATCCTTTATTAATTAATAATTATTAAATTATTATTTAATAAATCATTAGTTTAATAAAAAAATTATTAATGATTAATTAATTCTTTAAAAATTTAATTATCAATTGACATAATTATGAATGAAAAATGAAAATTAATTCGATTAAATATGATAATTATAAATTCGTACTGCAACTAAAAGATTTAAAAATCCTAAGTTAAGTTATCAAATAATTTTACATAATTTAATCAAATTTAATATATATCATAATATTTTTAAAATGAAACAATTTACCAAATTCAAATTGATAAAATTTACTCAATTTTGGGAATTAGTGCATTCACGTGAAATGTCATGGGAATTGAGGAAGCCTCAATTTCATGGATTCCTGGCTTTTTTTGACATAAATATGGACACAATGATAATGTATTCTCAATTGATAACAAAACATAAGAAAACATTTAAGAAAGCCATGATCACCACGATTTATAATCATAGAGGCACAAGCCTCGTCACTCTTGAAAAAAATCTAGAAATTTCTCCATTTCTTCCTATTTTTGTTGCCTGCGATATACTCTGCTTTGATTAGAATTTATAGGCTTAAAACTTTTTTGCAATAAAGCTAAGTTAGGTTCATTGAATTCATAAACTAGAAATTTTTTGCAAGAATAATTGTTAAAATTTCCTCGTGGGATCGATACGTAGACACTTGGACCGCATATTACTTGACACGTGCACTTATGTTGTATGACCAACTAACTTCGCAATAAGTTTTGATGTGTCAGGTAGATCTGTCGAGAGTTAGGTTGATGTCTTCGCTAGACTTTCTAATGGTGGTTAGCTCAGGTGTTGATCAGTTTGTTCACACCATTCTGCTTAGAATGTTCTTTTTATCCTTCCTTTGGCCAGGTTAGCCTTTGTTCTTAGCTTGGATGGTTGCATCCAATCAAATAAGCGGGGCCTCTTAGTCTCTATTGGTTGGTCATCTTTGTTGTACTTTCTTTTAAATCGTGGGTCTCCTCGTGGTTCATGCTTGGCACACTCTTGATGTACAATTTCACACTTTAGTGGTATCGATGGATACACTTAAACAAAATCAATAACACCTATAATAAAATTAATCTCATCCTTATCATAATTTATTAAAATATCTTATTAAAACATTTATTTCTTTTAAGAAATGTAAAATAAACAAATAAAATAATAAATATTTAGTATAAAATATAAGATGTTTCTATGATTACCACAAGATAAATGTTTTTATAATATTAAACAGTAAAAATAATTATTATTTTTAAATAACAAAAATATATTTTTGTTTAGTTTTAATTAATTACTCCATACTCATCTTATATTTTAAACAGCTTTTATTCATTTCGTTAACACTCCTACAACTGAGTCATGCACAAGTTTCAAACGGATATTTTCCAGTAAATTCGCGATTTATCTGGGTTCAAAAGCACAAATGAGCATATAACCGTTACCAATTACCTTTGAAAAAGATCAAATTTAAAAATCAGGGTTTGGAAACTAGCCGTTGGGTTTCGGTCTGTTCTCACCATCAAACGGTCAGATTCCTTGTCTTTTTCTTCTTCTTCTGCTTTCCCCTGCCATCAAATACCCCATTCACGCCCCTCTCTCCCCAAATCCTCTGCCGTTCCATTATCGAAAATGAGCGCCGCTTACTACCGCACTCACAAGATCTTCCTCCTCTCAAATTACATCCTGTTGGGCGCCGCCTCAAGTTGCATCTTTCTCACACTCTCCCTCCGTCTAATCCCCTCCGCCATCGGCTTCCTCCTCATCCTCCTCCATGCCCTCACCATCGCCGGCGCCATCTCCGGCTGCACAGCCGCTAACTCAACCTCCGGCAAATGGCATGGCGCTCACATGGTCGCCACAGTTCTCACCGCTATCTTGCAGGGCTCGGTCGCCGTCCTCATCTTTTCAAGAACTTCGGAGTTTCTTCTGGGCGGACTCAGGTCCTACGTGAGGGTTGATGACGGAGCGATCATACTGAGAATGGTGGGCGGCCTCGGAGTCGTGATCTTCTGCTTGGAGTGGGTTGTTCTCTCTCTAGCTTTTGTGCTAAGGTACTACGCGTATGTGGATGGAGACAGTGCGAGAATGAACGCTAAGGTGCAGAGTGAGGATGAAATGAAGAACTGGCCGTGGCCGTTTCAGGTCTGATTTTGTTCAGAAGCAGACAATCTGATCTTTTTTAGATTTGATTTGAAGAAGAAGAAGACGATTTAGAGATTCTGTGATCTGTACTTAGTGAAGATTTGGCGTATTGTTCGTTGGTTTTTTTTTTTTTTTGAATTTGTTCTATTGTTTACTGTGAGAGTTTCAGTTAGTTATGGTGTACTGATTTCTTCGAGAATACATATGTGGTTTTTCATCTTTTTTTTTTGTGGTAATTTATCTACTCTCTGCTATTATTAGAAGATTAAATAAAGTAATTAGATGACATGGTTTTAATTGAGTAATTAATCTATGTCGCTCATTTAAATATGATCAGAACTTTGTTATTTCAACCAGATATCTTCGTGAAACTGCAGAGAATCTGGTCTTGTTTAGATTTGATTTGAAGATGAAGATGCTATTATTAGAAGATTAAATAAAGTAATTAGATGACATGGTTTTAATTGAGTAATTAATCTATGTCGCTCATTTAAATATGATCAGAACTTTGTTATTTCAACCAGATATCTTCGTGAAACTGCAGAGAATCTGGTCTTGTTTAGATTTGATTTGAAGATGAAGAAGAAGAAGACGATTTAGAGATTCTTTAATCTGTAATTAGTGAAGATTTGGCTTAATGTTCGTTGCTTCTTTTGAAGTTGTGTTCTATTGTTTGCTGTGGTAGCCTCTTCTGTCTGTTTTGGTGTACTGATTTCTTTGAGAGTGGTTTCTTTTTTTTTTTTTTTTTTTGGTCATTTATCTCATCTTTGCTATTATTAGTAGATTAAACAGAAGAAATTAGATGGCATATATTTTTAATTTAGTGATTAATCCAAGTCGCCGATTGTGTGATATGATTCGAACTATGGTTATTTCAGCCAGATATCTTAGTGAAACTGCAGGACGCCGATTGTGTGATATGATTCGAACTATGTTATTTCAGCCAGATATCTTAGTGAAACTGCAGGATTATGCAGCTTTTGAAGTAATATCTATAATTATTTGCTTACAATTTAAGATGAATAAAAAGGAAGTTCTTCAGATTTAATGTATGATTCCATCTACAAGCAACCCAATGAGCCTTAACGATAGAAGCAACCAAACAAAAATAAATGTTTTCCCGCATCTTAAAATTGGAAGATTTACATGATCATACCTAGGAATTTGTTGGGCTTGCATATGGTTCTCTCTTTAGTTGTTAGGTATATAAAAACACCTTAGGTGTGTAATGTAGTAGACACCTACCTTGCCTATGAATGAAAATGTGTTTATGAACTTTTAAATGTTAAAATGCAGGTATTTCTACATTACTCACCTTAGGTGTGTAATGTAGATACCTTGCCTGTGAATTAAAATGTGTTTCTGAACTTCTAATTTAGGTGGTATGAGTGTAAAAGCACGAAGTTTAGGTGTTATATGTAATTACTGTTTCTGAACTTTTAAATGTTAAAATGCAGGTATTTCTACATTACACACCTTAGGTGTGTGTAAGGTAGATACCTTGCCTATGAATTGAAATGTGTTTCTAAGCTTTTAATTTAGGTGGTATGAGTGTAAAAGCACGAAGTTTAGGTGTTACACAGTAATTTGAAGGTGTATGTATGCAAATCCCCCAAATTTTCATATTGTCTCTTGGTTTAGTAGAGCATGATTCTGTATATTAAATGAAATATTGCAAATCCTCCAAATTTTCATAGTGTGTGTTGGGGTTAGTAGAGCATGATTCTGTATATTAAACGAAAAAATTTTCCTATAGAATAATTAGAGATGATATACATAAAACCAGAACCTAAACCTTCTTTTGGAGAGGAATAGTATTATGATTTGGTGCAAGATTGACGTGTGTTTGAAAAATAATTTATTTATTAGCAAAATGAGCTCATATATGCCATTCCATGACCGTTTCTAGATTAATGGGACTATGATGGTGTATGCATGTAAATGAACCAAATTTACATATTTTGTAAGATGGGTTAGTGGAGCATTATTCTCATGTAAATGCCCAAAATTTACATATTATGTAAGATGGGTTAGTGGAGCATTATTCTCTTTATTAAATGAGCTAATTTATCTATAGAATATGGTAAACACAAAACCAAGACCAAAATTATCTTTTCTCATGAAAAACAAATTAACTATTAGCTTAAAATGAGCTCATATATGCCACACACAAAACCATGACCAAGATCTTCTTTTCTAGATAAATTGGACTATGATTTGGTACATAGGACTTCGGTGGTGTATATATGTAAATGCCCTAAATTATATTATGAAAGATGGGTTAGTGGAGCATGACTCTCATGTAAATGTCCCAAATTTAAATATTATGTAACATGGGTTAGTAGAGCATGATTCTCTATATTAATTGAGCTAATTTATCTATAGAATAACCAGAGATGGTATACACAAAGCCAAGACCAAGATTATCTTTTCTAGTGGGACAAAATTATGATTTGTTGCAAGATGGATGATGGTTTGAAAAATAGTTCAACTATTAGCTCATACCCTAATATTGGCCAAAAAAAAAAACATGACTTGGATCTTCTTTTCTAGAGGAACAAGACTATGATTTATGTGCAAGATTGATGATTGTTTGAAAAAGAGTTTAAACTATTAGCTTAAATTGAGCTTGTACCTAAGTATCGCTATACAATAATGAAGGTGAGTTCAGATCAAATTTACTAAAATTTAAAATATCACAAAAAAATTCATTAAATCAAACAAATAAATTATTTGAATTAAAAATACTTTTAATTTGATTTAGTATCATATGAACACCAATTTCAACATTTGCCAAATAAATAGAAACTTCAGTGTATTAATTAATGGATCAAATATTCTCTATTTTTGTGATCAACGAACGGAAAGCAACAAACTCAAAAGCACTCGGCTAAGAGATTATTAAAACACTTAAATGCTATAAAAATGACATAAAATGAAAAAAATTGATACTAGCCATCTAATATAATGGTATCTTATGAACTCCAATTTCAACATTCGCCAAATGATTAGAAACTTAAGTGGATTAATTAAGGGATCGAGCACTGTATATTTTTGCATTCTTATTATCAAAATATAAGGATCAACAAAAGGAAAGTACATACTCAAAAGCACTCAATTATGAGATTATTAAAACACTTAAATGCCATAAGAATGATATAAAATGAGAAATTTAATACTAGCCATCCATTATAATGCTTAAATTTTTTTAACTAAAAAATTAAATTAATTTTACATTGAATCTTAAAATTTAATCCATCAATTTATTTTTTCTAGGGGTTTTAATGAACCACTACACTCAATAAATAGCTCAAACTTTACTCAATTAATATTCGATCATGTTTGTTTAGTGTAATGAATAAATAAGTTTGAACAACTTTTAAAAATATGAAAATAAAACCAAGGAAACATAAATAATAGGCATGTACTTATTACTAAGCTCAATGATAACACATATAATATATCATACATTATTTAAATAGAATTTGATTAACTAAAACCAATTTACTTTTATAAGTTAAATAACAATATATAATAATTTAATATTATTAATATTTTAAGGATAAGTATTAATTATATATTTGTTTTATTAAATAAATTTATTACTTTACCTAACTTATTAACTAATAGAATGTAATTATCCATCATTTTCATTCCATAAAAGTTTTAACTTCAACATATGAAATATTAACTTCATTTTGAGAAGAGGAGAAATAAGCTAACATTTTCTTATTTTTATTCATATGCATGGGAACTACTTCAGATGCATGTGGAGCCTTCACAACAGGATTCAAAGTAACAGAAGCTTTAGTTGTCACACTTAAGGTCACCAAAGATACTTCAATTGGTTCTATAGTCTCTCCGACGGATGGAACAAATCCCGACTTTGCAACGGGCTAACAAGAGTACCTTGGCCTTACACTGCGATGACCATGCAGGAAGGACAAAAACTCCCGAATCACTTGTTCTGAAGTTTGGAAAATCCTGTTAAGGAACTTCGTCTTGGTAATGGGGCCCTCCCCTTTAAGATAAGAGACTTCTCCCATGATCCTTTGTGCCAGAAAATCAATAGTGTTTGTTCCCTTAATTAATACTTTGCTTCATAACCTATATTTCAACATGAATAATCTAATCATTGCTCCATAGCTCTCCTGATTCATTATGTATCACAACATATTTTAACAAATCATTTGGTCATAATGAAAAATAAATGATGCTTTGAAGAATTCTCATCACCTTAAATATTTAAAACCAATTTTAAAAGCATTCTACAATTCCTACACAACTAACATAATCATTACAAGAGAAAAGAGAAAAGACTGCTCACTAAGCATGGATAAAACACCACAAAAAATCAGTAACATTAAGCAAATCCACTAAGTAATTGTGTTTTACAAAAGAAAAATACAAGAAATGCACAATACTTAGCTTCCTCTTCTTTACAATGCTCTGAAAATGCTCTCCTAGAATCTCGTAGGCCCTTCTTGTTGTGTAGAATAATCTCCTTATGATACAACTTTCAAATCTCTAGATAAAAGCACTAAATCTCACCTACATCAAACCCATAATGTTCCCCTCTCTTTTTCTATGAAAACCTTCTTCTAAATCTCCTTAAGGAATTTTTATTAATGTCAAAATAACTCCCCACGTCAAGGGGAGAACTGTTGAAAAACTTTCTTGCTGTTGCTGGCGCCTAGGGGCCAGCCTCTCTGTCTTACTGGCACCTAGGCACCAAAGTAGTTAGCACTAAGGTGCTCAGTAGGAGTGCCTTGGCACCCAAAGGCAGGCACCTAGGTGACAGTCAATTGGATCTCCAATTACTCCATACCAGCTCCACATCGCTCCATTTCTTTTCTATTTCATTCCACTTCGACTGTCTATAGTGTCTACAAGAAAAACATAAAATACTCTTCTTTAAAGTGCAATTTTATTCATAAAAATATGAAAAAATATTGATGAATGTAAGCAATTTTTTCTACACATCAACAACAAAAGCCTCGGTGGGCATATGATTACTTAGAATAATCTTAAATGGGTGCTGATCTCAAGCTATTAAGGCCCTATGTCCATCTGATCATGAAGGTAGTCGACACAAAAAAACTAAAATTCTTTGTCAGCAACCTTTGTTCCCCATAGCAGTTAGGAATGGGCAAACTATGAATTTTAATTTGATTTATGGACCTCAACATCCATCTTCTCATGATGTTTCACGATCAGTGT